AGGAGGGGCCTGAGCTCTCCCTCCCATCTCCTCCCACAGGCGGAGCAGTTCACCTGTGTGTGCTACAGCTTCTCCCTGGGTAAGTGCGCCCTGGGCTGCCTGTGCCTGAGCCTCTCCCGCATCTCCCCTTGCCCCAGCCCGGTGCTGCCCTGGAGAGGAGCTGCCCGAGTGCAGGAGCCCTGGGGTCTTCTTGCTGGGGGAGGGGGCGGGGGGGCCAGACGAGGAAACCTCTTGCTTCTCATCCCGGAAGAGAAGCCCAAGCCAAGACACACATCTGCACGCTTGCACGTGCCCTGCGCCATCACTGGGGATACTGTCAGTGCCTGGTCCCGGCTGCATCTGTGCCTGAGCCTCTCTCCTGCATCTCCCCTTGCCCCAGCCCGGCCACAGTCTGTGGAGAGGAGCAGTGAGCTCTGGTTGTCCTACTTCCATTGTCGTGGAAGTTCTCTGGGTCTTGAGGCTGCCTATGGTGGGTGGGCATTGGCAACCTCAGGCCACCTGGGCAGGTGTGGCACAGGTGGCAGCTGGAAACTGCATCATCCCTGTTGCCTTCTCATGGTGCATCTTAGTGCTGGTGCTCCTCTGGTGCTTGTGCATCTCTGGAAGAGGAAACACCTCCCCAGGCTCTGGCCATGCCTGGGGCAGTCAGGGAGACAGGGCCCACCCTGAAGGGCATTACACCAAGCAAGGTCTTACTCCTTCTGCACCAGCCTGGCTCCTCTCCAGTGCAAAGCCTGTAGTGGGAGATGAAGGAAGCTGCTTTTCACCACATGCCCCTGGGCAATCTCCCAACACCTGATCCCGGCTGTGTGGGAGCCTGAGTCTTGGCTGTACTTTTTGCAGAGCCGGAGCTGGTGCCTCTGCCGGGCAGGATGCACGTGGTTATTGGAGTAGCAGTAGTAATTGCACTTCTGGCACTGGGAATTTTGCTGCTCTTCCTGCTTTTCAGGTCAGTATGTGCATCACTTCTGCTGTCATCCAGTACCTTGCACTGGCAGGGGGGGT